CTGAAAGAGTTTGCAACCATGAACACGTACATTTTTTTTGTTTCACCTGAATTGAAATAACCGTATACAGTTGTCAAAAAGCGGAAACTTCGACCAACATGAAATCACCAATAAACGACTTCTATTTATTCAACATTTTATAAAATGCATACTACGTTTAAAAAAATTCCAGCTTTACGGATTCAGAACAGAACAGCCACTCTGGTACGAACATTATGGCTTTTTGGTTGAGAGTGTTAGATTCACTGTTGTTATTAAACAAAAGGGCTGCATACACCAAAGTAGTTCTTGCTTGTTCATTGGCGTGGGAAAAGGCGGTTGTAGTGTTATTAGGGGGGTAATCAGTGTTACCTGCAAGATCGCTATTGTTTTTCTTTCTGCTGCAATTGTTTTCATTATTACTTTAGTTAACACACCACATCTTTAAATTCTCATCCTTGCATTAGAATATAGACCAGTTAATATTCTGATGGTATCTCATGTGGTAATGCTGCGTCATATGTTTTACATTTAATACACACTGAATATTGAACTGAAGCTTGACATAAAAAAAAATATCACAAATTAAATCATAAACGCAATGTCTGTCAGAAAAATCGCGATTAGATATTTTCCCCAAATTGTTCAGCCCTAAACTCAACTTATACTGTTAAACTAGAATATCATATCCATAGATAAGAAATGAATTGCATGAGAGCCAGTTTCAATATTGCACCATACTGTACAGCAATAGATTAACTAGTTTAAGGAAAATCTTCTTAAATAGTCATGCAGTTTTGTTAATGTGTTAAAAAATTAGCCGGCACTAACCATGACAGTCGTTTTATTTTTTATTGTTCAACAGCAAACCAATTTTAAGACAGCAAGCCAACAGGACTACTGGAATTTTATTGTATAAAGTTTCTCAACTTCCATGGAAGCAACCCATTTCACATAACTTCCTATCTGGGACAAAGGTCACTGTGATTCCAGTGTCTATCCCAAGAAGCACAAGGCAGGGCCCAAAGCAGACAGCCAGTGCACTGCAGAGCCAACATTGACAGGTGAGCACAGACTATGGACACTTTAAGGACAAAAGCATCTAGAGGAAAGTCACAGTCATGAAGGTGCAAATTACAGTGCTAATTGCAGTGACACCCTAATCCCAACTATCATTAGCATAACCCTAATCCCAACTATGACAACCTTAACCTCTACCCAGCCCTAACCTTAACCATAAGCAACCAAACAAAACAAAATTTCTGACATTTTTAGTTTTTTGTCCGCAGATACAGATTTTTATAAAAATTGAGTTTCCCCTTGTGGGGACCGAGAAAATGGTCCCCCCCAGCGTCAAAATAACTGGTTTTTATTACATTATATGGACATTTGGTCCCACAATGTAATACTTACACAACAATACCCCCCACGCACACATGCCCCTCCAGATTTGCATATCAGACACATTTGTGAGTTGGCTGTGAATAATTAAATGGGAATATTTTTGATGAATAAATGAATAAACAACACAAACAAACAAACAAAATATACATGTCACTAGAGTCGATGCCAACAATGGTAGTTCCCACAAGTGCAACAAGTCTTCTGCATGTAGAGGCGAAAACAGAAGCAATCTCTCGAAACATCTAGCAAAAGTCTATCACATGCCTATGGAGTGATGCACAGTTTTCAACTGCCTAGATCGTCGATTATCTGTTGTTTGCCCAGGTATGTTATGTTTGCTAGTGGCCAGGGGCCCAAACATGGATTTAACTAAATTATACACACCCATTCTGCAGAATTGGGCCAAATCACGTCCTTGCAAAAACTTTTAAATATTATATCAACATACTAATTATATTTGGTGACATTTTATTTTTTAAATATATTTTTGAAATAAAAAAAAATGTACATAATTATTGCTCTGCTTTCATTTAACTTCTACACTTGCCCTGTCCCAGAAAAGAATTCCCAACTTCAAACAATTTTAAAAATGTGTTAAAAGAAGGGCTGCCACGAATGACTATTTTTCTAAATGATTAATTTCCCACCAGAAAACCAACTTCACTGTTTAATTGAAGATAATTTTATTTTGCCAACAACAAATTGTATGCCATTGCAGGGCTTTACATAATGTACGCCGACTTTTCAGATCTGAACATTATTTTCGTCCACAATTCAAGAAGCAGATTAGTAGTATGCTTAAAATATCAATGAGATGCATAATGTGATGCCCAAAAGTTAGTAATCTGTATAAATTTGGTGTATCCACATACTTTTTAAATTAAGTTAAACCTGAGACACATGCAATAAGCACTGAAGTCGCGATGAAGGAAGGGACTGATCAGCAGCCACAACATCTTTTAAAGGAGGAGATACTGTGGTTAAACAAGGTAAAAGATGTTGGTGGTGTGGAGGTACTTTTCACTGTTAGTTTACAACAGAGTTAGTTTAGAACTCTTACCAACTTTTTAAAAAATACTAAGACTATGCTGTGAGATTAAAAAAATATTTTGTAAACTCCATAAGATGTCAACTCCGTCAGATATTTTAAAGGTTTTGATGTAAGAGTTCTTTTAAAATCTGGAATAACCAAAAATAGGATATTCATGTTTGACATGGCGTTCTGTGCACTTTCAAGTTGTTTAAATGTTTGTGCACTATTTTGTGTTTTATATATCAACTCCGTCAGTTGGCTGTCAGATGGATTTTTTCTTCATTAAAGGTATGCTCAGAATGATTTTAAAAAAGAATTTGTCAATAAAAATTCATATTGCACACTTACTATGTGTTATTTGGCTTATAAATGGGTTTTATATTATACTATTACAAATTTATGTGTGACTGAGAGAGTTGACAAAATTCAAGCTGTCAACTGCAGAAAATGAAGCTTAACATAAAATGAAATCACTGAAGGTTGGCCCATTACAAAGTTTAATACCCAAGACTTTGGTCATTTGAAATATATTTTCTCAGCATGATTGAAGAGTAAAAATAAAAATCCCCCAAAATAAGATTTTGTCCCTATTCTTGAGTGATATGAATATGGATTAACGATTAAAAGTCAGCCAGCTGATTGTTATGGATGCATTCATAAATGGTCAGAGCATCATCTCTTGTTCAGAAGTTCAGTTTCAGATCATGGATTTAGTGATCTGGACAAACTAAGGTTACCACACCGTAAAATTACTGTCAAAGTCCTGCAGTCAGTTTTTCACTTAAAAGTGAACATTGTTTATTGCAAATTTATTTTGCATTCCAATAATCCCATTATAATCTATAATAGTGACTTGTTCAAGACAATGATGCTGCAGTTTGCAGCTCAAGAATGTTAATTTATATATAGTACATATCAGAAAATACAGCAATGTTAATTCTATTCTTAATTTCTTTCTTTTTATTCACTTAAATAAAAAATACTGAAGTGTACCTTTAAAGTACCAGATTGATAAGCAGTATTGGTAAGAGTAGTAGTATCATCGTAATGATGCCCATCCCTATACTGGGGTGTAATTTAGATGGTTTGTATATTATATAAAAAGGTCTTGATTGAAAATGACCAAGTAATTTTCAATCAAGGCCTATTATGTCATCTATTTAGATTTCCAAAAGGCTTTTGATGTTGTTCCCCACAAGAGGCTCTCACTTAAACTCAAAGCGACAGGTATTTTAGGAACTGTAGCGACTTGGATTGATAACTGGTTAACGGATAGGAAGCAGCGAGTAGTTATAAGAGGCTCGATGTCACAGTGGGCCTGCGTTCATAGTGGGGTACCGCAGGGTTCAATTTTAGGACCACTTTTGTTCCTTATTTACATAAATGATATAGACACCAATATATACAGTAAACTGGTGAAATTTGCAGATGACACCAAGGTGGGTGGTGTAGCAGATACTGAACTAGCGGCTCAGCAGCTACAGCGGGATCTTAATTTAATTAGTGACTGGGCTGACACCTGGCAGATGAAATTTAACATAGACAAATGTAAGGTACTCCATGTAGGGAGCAGAAATATAAAGTACAGGTATTTTATGGGACCTACTGAAATAAAGGTAGCTGATTATGAGAAAGACCTTGGTGTGTATGTTGATGCTTCCATGTCTCATTCTCGCCAGTGCGGGGAAGCAATAAAAAAGGCCAATAGGATGTTGGGGTATATCTCCAGGTGTGTGGAGTTTAAGTCAAGGGAGGTAATGCTAAGATTATACAATTCCTTGGTGAGACCTCACCTAGAATATTGTGTACAGGTTTGGTCACCATATCTTAAAAAGGACATAGCGGCCTTAGAAAAGGTGCAGCGTAGGGCCACAAGAATGATTCCTGGTCTTAGAGGAATGTCATACGAGGAATGGTTATTTGAGCTAAATCTGTTCAGCCTCAAGCAAAGGAGACTGAGGGGGGACATGATCCAGGTCTATAAGATTCTAACAGGTTTGGATGCTGTTCAACCGAATAGTTACTTCAGCATTAGTTCAAATACAAGAACTCGTGGCCATAGGTGGAAATTAGCGGGAGAACATTTCAAACTGGATTTAAGGAAGCACTTCTTTACACAGCGTGTAGTCAGAGTATGGAATAGTCTTCCTGATAACGTAGTGCAAGCTGAATCCTTGGGTTCCTTTAAATCAGAGCTAGATAAGATTTTAACAACTCTGAGCTATTAGTTAAGTTCTCCCCAAGCGAGCTCGATGGGCCGAATGGCCTCCTCTCGTTTGTATATTTCTTATGTTCTTATGTTCTTATGTTAAGTAATTTGATATGAAAAGTGACAGTACAGTACTGTTTGTTCAGACTTTATGTTACCGTTTAGGCTAACACACTGTTATGATTTGAGGTTAGGGGTGCCCAAGCAGGGGTGGGCGGTATGCGCAAAATGTTATATCAATATATTTTTAGTTAAATTTTATATCATGATATTTTTTTGTTATAATCACAATCCACAATATACACCAGTCATAACATTAAAGCCACCTGCCTAACATTGTGTAGATCCCCCTCATGCCACCAAAACAGCTCTTACCCGTGAAGGCATGGACTCCGTAAGACTCTGAAGGTGTCCTGTGGTATCTGGCACCAAGACTTTAGCAGAAGATCCTTTAAGTCCTACAGTATAAGTTATGAGGTGGGGCTTCCATGAATAGGACTTGTCTATCCAGGAATATGCCACAGATGGTCGATCGGATTGAGATCTGGGGAATTTGGAAACCAGGTCAACATCTTGAACTCTTTGTTATGTTCCTCAAACCATTCCTGAACAATTGTTGTAGTGTGAGAGACCGCCCAATCATTGCCCAGAGCATCCCACTGCTACATAGTGCGTCCTGGTGCCATCTCTTCCCCAGATAAACAATGCACACGCACCCAGCCGTCCACATGATGTAACAGAAAACATGACTCATCAGACCAGGCCACCTTCTTCCATTACTCCATGGACCAGTTCTGACACTCACATGCCCATTGTAGGTGAATTGGTGTTGGACAGGGGTCAGTATGGACACTGACTGGTTTGCGGCTATGCGGCCACATGAGCAGAAAGCTGCGATAGAAAGGTGTCAGAACACACAATGTATCAGAGCCAGTATTAACCTCCAATTAATTTGTGCTACAGTAGGTCTCCTGTAGGATCTGACCAGACAGGCTTGCCTTTGCTCCCTGTGCCCATCAAAGAGCTTTGGGTGCCCATGACCCTGTCACCAGTTCACCAGTTGCCCTTCCTTGGTCCATTTTTGATAAGTACTGACCACTGCATACCAGAAACACCCCAGACCTGCTGTTTTGGAGACGCTCTGACAGTCTTCCAGTCATCTAGCCACCACAATGTGACCCCTGTCAAAGTCGCTTACCCAATTACCCAATTTTCTTGCTTACAACAATCAGCTTCAAGAACCAGCTGTTCACTTGCCTAAATATATAACAGCGCCTTTAGCAGGTGCCATTGTAACAAGATAATCAATGTTATTCCCCTTCACCTGTCAGTGGTTTTAATGTTATGGTTGATTGTTGTAGATCATGATTTTTTGGAGTGCAAGTAATAATGTTAATTAACCATTTAACTACATAACCAGCAAGTATGTTTTTACAAGAAACACTGCTTGTACCATCATTGTAATTAACTTATCTATTAATGTATGAATTATAATGTACATATAAAATAAACTAATTCATTATACAAGTACTTTTGGATTTTTTTATATTCAAAATTCAAGGGTTTCGTAAACAAATGAACATTTATCACTTCGGTCAATAACTGTATATGTCTGAGTTTAAAACACATACAAACAAAATAATGGCTAAATAAAATAATTAAATAATAAATGTAGGATTTTAAATTTTTGCATCAATAAGCAGTCTTTGCTTCTGTTTGGTGACTTCAGAATGTTGGATTTCGCAAACATACACAGCAGAACATGCCCCACACTCTTCTGACAGCATAGCTGACCCGCCTATGGAAACTGCTTTGTTTCACATTGGTCTGTTGTAGTACTGATGCAGCCTTTGAACACAGGGGCATCAGGAATTAGGTGCAGGCAGGTTTGTTCTGTCCTTATAAGTAAACGTAAATGTAATGCTTTATCACAATTCTTACAATACTTCTTTAATGTGTATTGTGGATAACCGGTTACGATAAATTATCGCCATATCGCCCACCACTAGGCCCAAGTATTATTTACAAATTTTCACATTGGCGGGGATCTCTGCCCCTAACCCTCAAACTCGAAGATAAATCAATTGTTATACAGGTTTCTGAGTCTGTCATTCATATGCTAAAACATCACTTTCGATATCAAAGAAATGCTTCCTCAGACACCCTCTGCTGAGCTGAGGCAAAAGACTGGTCACCATAAAATTTGGCCAGGGTACAAAGATATTAAATTATTAAATTGATGGAATGGCACACCCATGACCTTTAAATTACAACCCCGATTCAACCTTTTGACATTTGTGTTTTTGTGTGACTGGCCGCTGTCAAATAATGAACACTTTCTGAATTAGTCTAATAAATAATTAGTAAAGAAACCCTACTAAAATACACTAAAAGCAATCTGAACCACCACTTACTGCTTTTACAGAGGGACTAAGGGAACAGCATTTACTTAAAGTAGCCTATTGTTGGCATAATAGACAACAGACAAAAAGAGGATATGCGCTGCAGAAAAACAACAATATAAGATAAACATTCAGTTCTACAAGCAGTGTTGCCAAGTCAATATGAGAAAAAAATTGGCAAAATAGCACATTTTAATACAGTCTCAGCACTTTAAAGGTCAGAAACGTTTTGATTTCTAAAGAGCTAAAAAATAAAAGAACGATGTGTTTTATTATTTAAAAAAAACCACCTAGTAGTAAATATGGCTTAAGATATTTTGGTTAGAAAGAATCTTATTTAACAAAAGGGGCCAAACAGCAATGTATTCGTCAATGCATATACAACGTTTAATTTATATAAATGATTCGTGTAGAAAAGCCTATAGTTAGTTGAAAAAAACTCCTATGCATCAAGATAAACCATTTTACATTCAAACAAAACATATAATGAACTATTTATCCTTCTTGTGAATATTTTGTGACCTCAAAATGGTATAAAGGTATATAAGGATGAAACCAAACCGAGCACTAAAACTGAACTTTCCAACAGATTTTACATTGTATCGTATTCAGCAGGAAAAATAACATGCATTGAGCTTTATCGCATATGTAAAAAAATTCTATTTCCCCCACAATCAAAATATCGGAGCAATGAGGGTGTCACTTATGCCGCCCCCAAACCCTGAACCCTGAAGTCTGATCAGCGCTCCTCAGCATTACTTTAGAAAATCGTTGTTAAAACGATGAAATATCAGAATTTATAGTCGAATAGCAAATATTGCATAATATGCAGGCGATTATAGAGACAAGCTTTCTTTATCTAAAGTAAATGAATGCCAAGGTAAGTAAATAGATCAGTGTAATCTATCATGAATAAAGCATACATACATATAAGTAACTACATAGCTTTATAGCTTTTGTAGCGTTATACTGTATGAATAAAGAGTGAATACAAGATTAGTACCTATGCAAATACATTAACCATACAGAGCCCGAAATAAGGTAAGCACAAAGACACTCCGTAATTACCCTGCTGTCGAGGCTGAGCGAATACAAAGAAACCATGACCTTCATTAACCAAAACCAAGTAACGATACTCCCCAAACCCCCATCTATGGTGAAATTAATTAAAACTTTGCTTCGTCTCTATTAACTCTGGGTGTTTCTCCGCTCGATCGGGCTGATAGTAAAAAATAATAACAAAACAGAGAAACTGCATGGGGCACAATGAGGTGAATTTGGTTTCGCATTATGGCAACTAAGTTAACTTACAGATGTGTTTAAATTTACAGACTAGGAGGAGTGCGTTTCTAATGGCGTAACCGGTGCCGTCGTATGATTATAGTTGAAGAAAACATAACGAAAGTTTTACGGGATTACAATAGCCATGCGCTTCTGATGGTCAAAATGTAGCGAAAAATACAGCAGTTAGGCATGTGTTACAATACAATGTTAAAATGTCACTTATGATCAGAGTTGAAGTATATTCTAATAGTTACCTCTTTTCTGGAGGTACGTTTACAGCAGCAGTCGCCGTCTTATTATAAACTGACTATAATTAGCTGAAAATCGTGTCTGAACGTGATATTTTACGGCAATGTTTGCATACTTACCAAGTTAGGAAACGGTACGTGCGATCAGAGCTGAATAAGCAGCAAGCTCCGTGGTGCATGTTCAAAAGGGAAATGATGTCGGGCTGTGTTGCCCGGCCCCCAGAGTGATCTTGAATATCTCTGAGTTTGTGTGGCACGTCTGCCTCCTCTTCATGTTCCCAGTACTAACACACTTCGCTTTAGACAGATCTCTTCGTTATGGTGCAAATTAACTTGCACCAGGGGGGAAAAAAACGAATTTGCTTTTCAAAGCTCAAAAAGTCAACATGTAAACCAACGCAATGCTTTTATTTGAATATAGCTTCCGCTAATCATGGGTTTACATAAAACATTTGTAAACTTGCATAAGAACGAATAAAAAGATGTTACATTAAAAACTTGTTTTAAGCCACGGATCGTTGATTGATGCATTGCTCAGTCGGTAATAAAACGTTAACAAAACTCCTTCATAGTAAGCATGAAACAGAAACATGTGATACGGAAACTTAGCTGGTCATACTTGGTTTAACAAAATATTTGGTTAATGTGGTTTTTAAACAGCAGCTGGTGCTATTGCACCGCAGCTGCCACCAGTAGCCTGTTAAAGCATCTCGCTAACAATAGTTTTCGTTCAGTTAAATTAATATTCATATTTACAGCGCGTTAGTCAATGACACGTGTCGTCTGACCGCAGTGTTGCGAAAATGAACGTAAATTACATCGACGAAAGTTCTGATTTGTTGCAATTTGTAGTGTAGTCTAAATTGCACAGAATTTCAGTTGAAATGTACACATTATTATTTTTTATGACTGAGACGCAGGGTAGGATCCCCTGTAATCATCGTTATTTGAAATGATCTCTGTTGTATTTGAAGAAAATGGTAAGAGAGAATGCATTTTATTAGGATACGCATTCCCGCACGGCTCTAACAGTGTTAATTTTAGACTCCTAGAGATGCCATGGGATCTCCCCCCTGAAGACCGGACAGTGCATTCCCTTTAGCTGCCCTGATGAGCTAGACATCTCTATTTCTTCCACTGTATGCTAATACAGTTTGATGTTAGGAGCCTGGCTATCCATTACAAGCACACCAAATATGGATAACACACTGAACTCCAGCACCTGTGCATTATCAGGCTCCTGCCCTGCCGACAGCAATGAAATACCCAGTCTGTTTTTGCACCAAGCAGCCTCTGTCTGTCGTTTTCCAAGAATGTTGACGTTATCACCTCTGGACCAAACAGGACGGAAATATGCTGGTGAAGCAATTAAAGCTATGATCCAGAATCATTGCTGCATTGTTAACTGGGTGAAGCACCCCCTGATAAGCCAGGCCAGTGGCCAGCAACTGCATCTTCCAATTTACACTGCATCTGCGTAGCCAACCACTAATGGTTCAAAAAAAAGAAATTCAACAAGTTTATTTAATGTATAGGACAACAACATGATTTGAGATTTAGTCCTACATTTTTGGTCCCAAATCTGGCAGTAGTTTCTACCATTAAGGGAGGGAGAATGTGGGAATGAGAAGTCTGATTTGGTAGTAACTGATAGCTTGGACGTTTCATGCAGATTGTTTGAGTGGTGGGCTTACAGAGGGTGGGGTTCTGCTTCACATTTATTAGGGATGTCAACATGAACCTGCATTGGAGAGCAGGAATGGACATTGAACACAGCAATCTGAACTCCACACAGGTCACCATTTGGTGCATAGATGATGCTTTGTGTGGAACGTGATTATTTCGTTTTTATATATATATATAAATAAATGATTTATATATAAACTGTGACAAAGGAAACATTTTGTCATAAAGTAACACAAACTCTGAACAAGTCCCAGGAGTGTGGCTTGGCAGTATGCAGAGCTTTGCAACATCACTGAAATCACTCAGCAGAGGCTCAGCCAAGAACAACCAGACCATGAGGCGCGTCCAGCTGCACTTATCACAGTAGGTGCAAAAAAAAGCAATTATTCAGCAGGGAAGATGGAAAACGGGCCAAATGTGACACTTATTTGGTAAGATGACTACTCACTTCTTACAGTGCTTAATAATTTAAACTCCCTGAACTTGCATGGTTAATTTTATAGTGCCTAAGTTTCCAAAGCTACGTAGCTGCATAGCTATGTCAAAGCTTAAAACAATCCTATCCATTATCCATGACAGGAAGTCGCAGGAGATATGAGGCTTCCAAAAAATATGTGGGGTCTGCAACATCATGGAGCTGTTAATCACAGGGAAGGGAAGAGTTTGCTCACATTTAAAACACACAAAATATACTAATAAACACTAACCCAATAAGAAGTAACAAGAATTTTATTTGTTTTCCAAAAAGTCACTGATATCTAGTTGGATGGCTAGATGAACACCACTTTGGTTCACAAACCTCTCTTCAGGGACACCCCAGCAATTCCACGCATTTCACCACCAGCTCGATTAATTAGATAATTTCTTGGGGTACAATTGATTAGCTGACGTTGTGGTAATGGTCAAGTACAAATACATATGGTACTGTAACTACAAATGTTCTGGTTTTCAAATGGCTGAGCTGACGCATTTTGACAGGCATAAAATCATAGTTTTATACCCACGTAACGAAAATATAAGCATCATTTTTTTTGGTGGCCTAAGAGTCTTGCACAGTACTGTATGTCTGAAAATGATTTATTCCCATGGCATGGGAGGGGTCATGCTCAGTCAAAGAAAAGCAGCATTCATGTGACATCGTAGCGCTGTCTTTCCTTTTCAGCTTTCCCATTCCTCCCGCGGACTAGAATAAAATCCATACGCTCGCTGCTTAAATTTCAAGTAATGCAGTTCCTTAGTTCTGTGTTCATTAGTGTTATTTACTTCACATGTTGTTTGACCCCTTGTGGTCTGTTTTTGTTTAATAAGCCCCTTTTGTTTCAGAGCCGCTAAGTGGATTGTCCTGCCGGCGCCATGCATTTGCCACGACCCACAGTAAATGTGAAGCCGGCTAGTGAGCCTAGCGTTTTCTGTTTTGTTTAATGAGCTTGAGGAAAAATTCACACTGACCACCTCGGAAAGAAAAATATATTGTAGCGTCTGCCAGCTGTCCCAGAGCAACAGCTGCTACGTCGTTCACACCCTACGTGTCGCACAGGCAAGAGAAATGCATGCATAAGTGGATTCAGGCAGCTGGCAGACTTGAAATAAAAAGGGATCAATACAAAAAACCTCAAACTTCAAGTCCCACCATTATTTCCCCATTGTTCTGCACAAAACAAATGCTTACAAACCTCAGTGACATCTGAGCATCTAACAGACTTTAAATAAACAATTACTAAAACCAATCTGCAAAATCAAACTATGAGGTTGCATTTTTTGTAATATTGCTCAAGGACAAAATATAAGGAAAGCAGACTAAGATAATGTATATGTTGATGATCATTTAAAAATTCCTCTTCTTAGGCAAAAAGGCGACATGCTGTCAGCTGTACCATCCTTCACCAACTCTCCATTGTTTCACAACATTTAAACCGTAGTACAACATGCTTTAACACAGGATATAAAGATTAATTCATTAGATAAAATGAGACGTGTTTCAGTAAATTCACCCGGCTCTAAGAAGAAAAGAAAGCCAGGAAATAGCCGTATGTAGATAAAGAACAAGCTGAATAATGACAGACAAATGTACCTTTATTCTGTGGGGAAACAAGTGAGTGATCGTCCTGATGCTTGTTTTGGAGTCTCTTTTGCTGTGATCCACTCCCAGTTATTCAGCACAACATGGTTTAGATTATGACACGAATGGGCATGTCTTGCAGCCTTTTCTCAAGAGTTGGAGCATGGCGAGATTTTTTTTCTTTTTTTTTCTGCGCTTTAGACTCAGAGTTGCTGTATGTGAAAAAAGTGTGTTGTATTTCAGATGATTGCTTTTTAAAAAAAATTCTGGAATTATTTTAGATTATTACTATTGTGTTTTTCCAGGCAGTTACGATCTTCATGACCCAGAGACACAGGAAAGTCCTGTTTAGTTACAGTGCGGGTTGGGCAGAAGGTGGAGTCCGAGGTGTCCTGCCATGTTGTCCCCAGAGTTCGGAAGGCTGTGCAGTTTCTGCAGCTATGGCTCTGGCCTGGGCTTTGAGCCATCCAGGTTGGCAGAGGTTCCCCCCAGCCAGCTCAGTGAATAGTATATGTGAGGGTTAAAAGACCCAAGAGATGGGGCACACACACAGACTTTTAAATACGAGACTTTTGTCATTTTTTGTTTTTTTATTGCATTCACAGATCTTTGAGGGAACCTGAAAAATGGTCAAAATAACAGGTTTTTACTACATTTTGGGGAAAATTTGGTTCCTACAATGTAATATAAACATAATATACATGCACACACACACACACCCCTATATACTGGACCATTGTGGCCCCAGAGCCATGTTGAATGATGAAAGGCAAGCCCTGGAGCCCCCAGGAAGCAGCATGTAACCCTGAGTTTGGTAACTCCACTAGAAGCACATGGTCTGTGACCCAAGTGGCTGCCGAAGTTCCAGAAAGGTCCACTTAATGGTAATGGTTTCTCATTCTACTGAGGCCCAACACTCTTTTGCCAGGATTAATGTGAGGATAAGGAAGAAGGGAGGATTTCCCTCCCCATTAAGGTCCTGGAATAACACCACTCCAAGTCCAGTTTCTGAGATGGCCGCTTCAATGGGGAGGGACCCTGAACACAAGCTCAGTTTCCTGACTCATTATATCCTCCTGAGACCCAAGGAAAAAAGTGTCCTCCAATTTTAGGTTATTTGTCTTTGGAGGGAATAAGACATCTTACAATTCAGATTTTTTCAAATTTATTTTTATTTTTAATTTCACAGCATGTCCTCTTTAGTGTACAACAGGAATAATTATGTTTCCTTACATCAGTGAAAAGATAGATGCAAAAACAAAATGTCCACTACAATGGACACAAATGAATGGGTGGGGTCTCAGGAGGTTAAAGTGCACTGCGACGTACCCACAATGCACTGTAGGAAGGCCATCTGAGCTGTAAGGCTCCATGTGATGTCCTCTGCCTGTCCCATTAGGGACTGGTTCAACAGGGGCACAAAGTGTCAGTAATGGGCTATAACCCCCAGAAAAGCTCATATCTGGCCTCTGGTAATTATGTAGCCCAGGCACCAGCCTTCCATATGGCACCCAACACTGGGAGGAGGTGCTGTATCCAGCTCTCAGTATGGGCGGCTACATCGTCCATCATCCAAGTAGACTCTGAAATATTCTTGTTATTGAGGTTGGAGGATCATGTCCATTAGACTTTGGGCTCCACATCAGAGCCCAAAAGGTAAAACCTGGTGGTGCCGGTGTCCATTTGATGTGTTGAAGGCCATCTTTTCCTTGCCTTTGAAATCACTCCCTGTTCCCTAAATACTGCATTCTATGGTATGTCCACCATTTCTTAGTGCTGTTGGAGGTCTCAACAGCACTTCTGACTCACTATATAGTGCACTATGATATATCC